TCTGGGGACGTTCGTAGCACCTTGGACGACAAGCTCATGGGCAAGGCCTCTGACATCCGAGAATCAGCACTGGATGTTATGGAAGCACTTCTTGATAAGCTGAAGTCCCTGGATGCAAGCGGCAATCCGGCAACTCGAGAAGAACTTTTGAATGCTATGCTTCACTACTTCTTGAGCACCGGAGTCGATGAAGAGGAGATCGGGGACCTCTCTCTTGAGAAGACGCCGAATCCTTATATTCATCGTTTTGGTCTGGCAGAGGACTCCAATGTCCCTATCTTCACCAGCAAGACCAAGTATGCCGCGCTCATCCTCAATCTCGGCAACATGAGCAGGGGAAGAAAGCGTTCCGCTCCTAGCTCCGTTGCTAATCACATTGACTGGGACGATGCTACACCATCTAAAGGAGCCTTGATAAAATCGATTGCACAGTCGAAGACGCATTTGTTCATGCTCTGCGAAGCGGCTAAGATCGATGACTCCGAAGAGGCCTTCCTCAAGTCACGCGGTTGGCAATTCCTTCGTAACGAGTCCAAGGACCTGATGGTGGGAAGTCGTACAAATGGTGTCGGATCTTCGATCACCCGTCTTGCCGGCTCCACTCTCAGTGGATATGCCCACGAGTCCCTTCCAATAACCTATATGGTCGCGGAAATCGTGTATGGCATGACGTTACCGACCGGTCTCCAGGGCAGTCGTGGTGATGTTCCAGATGAGTCACTGACCAAGGTCTTGGAGCGAGCTGGATCCGACCGGCTAAGAGTTTGTGTCTTCCACCTCCACAACGACGCGGCGGCAGACAAGGTGGCGTTGGCTCATGAAGTGTTGGGCAACATGTTCATCGACTGCTTGCACTACCAAGTCGACCTCATCGGTGGCGACGCCAACATGGCCCTCTACCGGGCCACCGGCAGAAAGCAGGAGTCGATGGATATTCGTGGCGGGATGTACCAAAGCCTTCTCGACTACTTCTTGGAGGCATGGTCAGAAAGCCCAAAGTGCCCACACTTCTGTTCGCCTCGTGCGAGACATGTGTCAGCAAACGCCATGTGGCTTCTGAAACAGTATGAGGACACGCTGGGAATGCCATACAAGGAAGCTAAGCAACCAGACTGGAATACTTTTCCTGGTTTGGATCCTGTTATGGCTACAGTCATGGAATGGGGACACAGCATGTCGGACGATCAATGGGCGGAGTTTCCGTCTTCAAAGACTGAGTTCGACATCCATGTCTCTGAGTGGCTGTTAAACTCCACCAGCGCCGCGTACCTTCTCAACGATCGGGACTATGACGCTCACACTCCGCTCCTCATCGAGGTTCACGCGAACCAGTACTCTGGAGGCAGGATGAGAGCGCTCAACCGCAATCCCGACACCATGAAGGAAGCCGCGGACAGAAGAAAAGAGAGACAGAAGCTGAACAAGGCGCGTGGTTCTGGTTCTACTGGTCCTGCAGCCGCACCACAGGGAGCAAGCTCTTCTCAGGAAGAGGCAGCTTCTGGTGCTAAAGCTTCTGGTTCTCAACGTCCTCAAGAACCCGCACAACCTCCTGGTGGCAAAGAAGGCGGCAAAGGAGGCAAGTCCTCCAAAGGAAAAGGCAAGGACGCCGACAAGGGCAAGTCCAAAGGCAAGTCCAAGGACAAGTCCAAGGGCAAGAGCAAGGGGAAACACTGACTAGGTTCCGATTCTTCGGATGTGGAAATGGACAATGGACTCGACGAGGTTCCTTTGGAACAAGATGATGCCGTTGCTCCTGATCCACAGATTTCGTTACCTAGATCCCCTGCTGATCCCCGCGGTTACGACCCTGTTCGCCATGCTCCGGTGATGCCGATCCACACGGTTGACATTTACCGCTGGCATGGTACTGAACATTGGCGTGATAGAACCTGGGATCGCGACATAGAGTTCATCGACTGAACTGGCAGAGTGTTTCACGGAATGCTTCTTTCAGAAGAAGGTATCCACTTGAGCATTCGTCATTTCATAGGGAGATGCTTTTCTCAGGAAAAGGTACTTCCTAAAGAACTCTTTCTCAAAGAAAGATACTTATCTCAGGATAAGATACTTCTCATGCCCTTATATATTTGCCGTGTCGCAAGATGTCATGCTGACATCAAGTGGAGCTAAGCTCTACAATCTTTTATGTGACAGTAAGCTTTCCGCCTGGAGAGGAAACTGAACACAAGTGGGCAACTTTCAAGCAAAAGTTTTCAGTTGAAGATCCGTTTGCGTTTTCGTGCGTGTTCTGCTCTTTTCATTGAAGCTGTCTTCAGGTGAGAGATGTATAGATTCTCTTCAAGTCGCAGATGTAGCTCAATACTCCGCTAATTCGACCGAGAGCAATAACAGGCTAGTTGAATGCCGACTCCACGGCCATGCAGCTCTACGTGTTTTAAATTTGTGCCTGGTTGAAACACTGAATGTTACACATCCAGGTGCCTGTCTGTTTCACGTATCACTTGCATGTATCCATGCCTGTTGCTCAAGGTTCTAGTGCAGTGGACTACAGCTGTGCGCCTGTAGCAAAAGAGACACCTGAGTGCCTGTGTTCCTGTACGCCTAGCGAGGGGATACACGTCCAGGTTACATCTCAGGGGGGGGGGGCCAAAGGCAAGGATCCCCTCCTGGCGCCGACCGGGACCGGGGTCGGCGGATTCTCTCCCCTAATTTTCCGGATTTCCGAAATTTCCAAAAAGTACGCCCTTATGTTTTTGGAAAAATCCTGTCCACTAGGTCGGGCCGTTTTGGACATTTCGGAAATATCCTATGTTTTGGAAAAATCCTGTCCACTAGGGGCCGTTTTGGAAGTTTTGGAAATATCGGAAACTTCTGAAATTTTGGAAATTGTGGAAGGAATTTTCGGAATTCTTGGAATTGATTCTCAGGAGGGCTGATTCTGACCCATCCGATGACAGACCATGCACTACGACTCACTTGCAAAGGCAAGGGCTGTTAATACTCATGCCCATATTTAGACGAATATCTATCTATCTATCTATCTATCTGTATACATATGTATTGATACTCCTACATATAGTATTGCCATTGCAAATACTGACATTGATCATTTGTTGAATGCCCAAGCTAATACCAGCATTCCTACTAATGTTACACTTCTATAAAGCCTAGTACATATGCATAACACAAATACTAATATTGATGAATATTGCTATTAATACTCCTACGCATATCAAAAATCATTTTCATATTGATAATAGTGTATATTAGTACCAATACTAACACACACCTGTATGTACTAATGTACATAAATATGTATACCCCTATATTAAAATACAAATACTTTAACTCACTCATGTATCAACGGATCAAGAGTAATACTAGTACAAACATTCCTTCAAATGTAAATCATCAACAACATTATAGTACTAACGCTAACACGACTACTAATACTTATCACAATGTTTATACTTACATCAATATTTACATAGGTATTGATACTCCTACGAATACGAATACGTAAACCCTTATGCGTTAGCAGTAGTGCTATCACCAACACTAATACGGACATTGATGATCTGTTGAATATTCAAGAATGCCAGTAGTATTACCAGCATGAACACTCATATTATGGCTAATACGACTATAAACAGTCCTAGTTCTAACAACATTGACATTAATACTCCTACCAGTACCAATAGTATATTCATATTGATATGAATACGAATATCATTACTAATAGACACCTGCCTACACTAATGTACACAAAAATACACGGAAATACATATCGTTATCTTAAGATACAGATATATACATGAGTGCATTCATGTATTACAGTAATGCTTTGGCATAAGCATATACCCATATACCAATGTAACAATATACTTCTCGTTGTTGTATGAGTATACTATACTAATATGCGTTAGTATACGACTACTGCAATATGCAAGTATACCGACATGACAAGTTAGTATACTAATATGCCAACATACTGATATACTTATGAATGGTTAGACAATTATATAATATGCTAACGTACGAATATACTCGTATGTTAATATACTAGTAAACCAATGCACCAATATACGAGTGTATTCATGCACCAGTTGTACTAACATGTCAAAATATACTAGTATACAAGTATACAAATATTTTACTGTTCGAATACATTGATGTATTGATATATTAATCTGCTTGTATACGAGACTATCAATATACTAACATATCAAAACTAACTAGTTCTAATATTGATACTAATACTAGCACTTCTGCGAATAGAAGCTGCCATTTAACCCAGCATGAAGACTAATACTGATACTACTAGTAGCAGTGGTGCTGTATTACTAGCATTGACACAGGCACTAGCGCTAACTCTAACACGAACATAAGCAATAACACTAATTTATAGTTACTTATATTGATATGTATACTTACAGCAAACAGTAGTACTAATATTACTAATAATATTCATCCTAATACCGATACTACCACAAAACTATTACGTAGATTGTATCTAAACACACCACACCCGACGATGATCTGTAAAGTAAGACCTTTACAGTAGATATACAAAGTATATCTACTGTAAAGGTCTTACTTTACAGATCATCGTCGGGTGTGGTGTGGTTAGATACAATATCTCAGCCGAGTCACCTGCCAAGAGTACAGTGTCACAAGGCCCTGGTCTGTCAACGGGGGCGGGCGAGCATATATATATATATATATATATATATATTGTATGTATGTATGTATGTATGTATGTATGTATGTATGTGTGTATATATATATACATATATACCCATGTCGTCTGCATGTCACTGCTATGCTTCGAATGGTCTCGAAGGAAAAGATGGCGGAGAAGAGCAATGGTGATATAAAAAAGCCGGAGACCAGCCCCAAGAAGGCCTTGCGAAGACAAGTCGCAACAGCGAGTCCTCCCGTCAACGTCTCTTGCCAGGCTGCTGCACCGGCACATGAGGAGTGCAAACGACTTGCTGCTCCCTAAGTGTCCCTAACAGACAGCCAGAAGCCCTCGACAGGAGAGGCGCAGCGGGGCGGTCTCCTGGCAGGTCTATGGAGCGCAAGGGCACCAAGTTTCGAAAAGGGGGCGCCACGATCATGAACCATGACGTACCGCAATTCTTTCTCACGTTGGAAGTTGCGCGCGCAGGTATGCAAAGGCTTGTGGTGGCGTCCCAGCCGTGGGTTTCCGTGCTCAGACTGACGAGCGCAATGGTACTGATGCAGTTCACACTAATTTATAATTTATCAATGCGTGCGGGCTGCGTCGGCGGCGTGCATTCGCACAGGCGCATTCCTCGGTGCGGTCGCCATTTCCGAGGTGGTGCCATGAAGCCCGTAAAGCTTCTAATCTAAAGCACATTTAGCAGCACTGTGTAGTAGACATCGATGGCTGAACCTTGATCTCCAATCCATGCCAGGGTTCGCGGAATTTCTCGGATGCGTGGTTGGCGCACTGGAGCGGGACCGGTGGCAGCTCCAGCGGTTTGGGGATTTACGCTCTCGCGGCGGTCATTTGCTTGGCTTCGCCCTTACAAAAACACTTGGGGACGGATGTAGACAAATTGTAATTGGATGAAAGGATGAAATATAGGAAGATCCATGTAAAGCTGAAGGGCTGGGCAATTATGTATGTTCATGCTCAGTTCCTATATTTACCCGTTTGGGGGAATGTTGCACTATAGAGGGTTTCAATTCGGCAGGTATAGGGGGTTCATTCCGAGCAGTCGTTGTTAAATTTGGGTCTTCAGCAGCCATTCAGCATTGACCTCGGAGCACAGCACCGCTGCCCTTTTCCTCTCGAGGCGGGCCCACTCGAGCCTCCTTTGACTTCGCAGTCTGCAGAAAACGTTTGCTGATTGCGCTTTGACTTATGCGCAAGTGTTAAGTCGAGTTGGTAGCGGAGCCGGCTTGCACCGTGATGCCTCGGATTCCCGCGGTCTTCCAGATGGACGGCCAAGGCGGCCAGGACGACTGATCGACTCTGATCGACCCTGTCGCTGCCCGACTTGCATGGAGAGTTTCGAATCTTTTTTGCAGGCGCAAGGACCAGGAACCTATGCCGAGCCCAGCGCGGAGAATCCTTCAAGGTCTTCGTCTTGGGGTCGACGGCGCCGGCGCATGACAGTCCTCTCCGAATCCCCGCTCTCTTGCATGTGGCTACAACAGGCCAGCTGCCGGCAACCGCCGGCGGAGGAGACCCCGGCTACAACTCCAAGCTTGTAGATCAGCACTATCTCCACGCAAGGCGAACCCCAGCATGGCCCCTGCGGCCAAGATGACACGCACGTTGAGAACTTCGGTGTGCGGCTCAAGGGTGTGATGAAAATAGTGAGTGTGCCCGGGGGGTCGGGGATTCGTGGTCGGTCGCTTGGGTTGTCTCTCGTGTCTCGTCGGGTCGTGTGTATCGACATTCCTAGTAGATCAGCACTATCTCCACGCAAGGTGCGAACCCCAGCATGGCCCCTGCGGCCAAGATGACACGCACGTTGAGAACTTCGGTGTGCGGCTCAAGGGTGTGATGAAAATAGTGAGTGTGCCCGGGGCTTCGTGGTCGGTCGCTTGGGTTGTCTCTCGTGTCTCGTATGTCTCGTCGGGTCGTGTGTATCGACATTCCTAGTAGATCAGCACTATCTCCACGCAAGGTGCGAACCCCAGCATGGCCCCTGCGGCCAAGATGACACGCACGTTGAGAACTTCGGTGTGCGGCTCAAGGGCGTGATGAAAATAGCGAGTGTGCCTGGGGGGGTCGGGGATTCGTGGTCGGTCGCTTGGGTTGTCTCTCGTGTCTCGTCGGGTCGTGTGTATCGACATTCCTAGTAGCTAGATCAGCACTATCTCCACGTAAGGTGCGAACCCCAGCATGGCCCCTGGGGCCAAGATGACACGCACCTTGAGAACTTCGGTGTGCGGCTCAAGGGTGTGATGAAAATAGTGAGTGTGCCCGGGGGGTCGGGGATTCGTGGTCGGTCGCTTGGGTTGTCTCTCGTGTCTCGTATGTCTCGTCGGGTCGTGTGTATCGACATTCCTAGTAGATCAGCACTATCTCCACGCAAGGTGCGAACCCCAGCATGGCCCCTGCGGCCAAGATGACACGCACGTTGAGAACTTCGGTGTGCGGCTCAAGGGCGTGATGAAAATAGCGATTGTGCCTGGGGGGGTCGGGGATTCGTGGTCGGTCGCTTGGGTTGTCTCTCGTGTCTCGTCGGGTCGTGTGTATCGACATTCCTAGTAGCTAGATCAGCACTATCTCCACGTAAGGTGCGAACCCCAGCATGGCCCCTGGGGCCAAGATGACACGCACCTTGAGAACTTCGGTGTGCGGCTCAAGGGTGTGATGAAAATAGTGAGTGTGCCCGGGGGGTCGGGGATTCGTGGTCGGTCGCTTGGGTTGTCTCTCGTGTCTCGTATGTCTCGTCGGGTCGTGTGTATCGACATTCCTCAGAAGCAGGTTAAGAGTTAAGAGCTTTCCTTGTTTCGTCTGAGCTGTTTGGATTCGGGCGGGTCGATAGGCTCCGGTGAATGCTCATGGATCCCAGAATGAGAAGGCGTGAAATTGCCCATACGGAGGAGGAGGCCTTTAGGAGAAGACCTTCGGACTCGCCCTTGGCATCATCGGTGGATACTCCTATGTCTGGTGTTCTGCACCAGCAAACCTTCATCGCTACGCAACAGGGGGTGGTTGTGGGGACCGTGCATGAAACGCGGACTCAGGCCCGTGCCATGTCTGCTGGACCAGTGGAGCAATAGAAACGGCTTTTCAAACGGCAAGGCCAGAGGGTTTGTTTGCCACACCAACTTGCAGACCGCGAGGCTTCGCAATCACCGCTAGGCCCTCCCATCACTTTATGTCTCCAGCGAGCGCTTCAGGATGGTCGCAAAGCCAGTGCGGAACAGCTGGTTGAACCGGTTGAACTGAGCATCAGCAATCTCCCACGTGAACCCAGACTTTCTCACTTTATCAGGGCCGCCGAGGAGATGAGGGGGTTGATGATGGGTTTCGCCAATCGGCTCGACAGGCTTCAGGAGGCCAGTGCTCGAACGGATGCCACAAACCTTGCACGTTTTGGCACTCGTGGTAGTAATGCGCCGATTGAAGAAAGGTTGTATGGTCGTGATAGATTATGTTCGAGCGGTGGTTTGGTGATGTTTGGTGAAGAGTCTTGCGAGTAGGTCTGAACCAAGCTTGCAGGATGCTAACATTGGGCACTGGGCACCAGTCTCGTGCACTGCAGATGCCTCTTGCCATGGGGGGTGAACCTGTTGATTTGAGGAGGCAACATTCAGGCTTCAAATCCTTATGAAGTCCAGATAGGCTTTGATCATGTTCCCACGTGGGACAAGATGTCCACGTACTCGGGAGCTTCTTGCAGATTCTGGAAATGGTACTTCGCCAGCTTCTGCGGCGCAGATGACGGCTTTCCCGGGAGAGTTTTCTTCTGCTGAGGGCTCACAGTCTTCCGAGGGTCATGATCGGATTTTGGTTGCAGGTTGAAGTTGGCTTCGCCCGGGAAAAGTGAACCGTCATTTGCATCCGAACGGTTCCTTGTTTTCACAAACTCCTATGGAGCCCATTGTTCCTTGAGGAGAGCTCATTTGTTGTCGTTGTGTGTCGGAGGACGGCATGTCGCCTAGTCCATCCTGCGCGCGGAGAACTACCGGTAAGGATTCATGACTCGTGTGCGCAAGCACCTCGGGCGGCTGGCGTGGGCTTGATTTCGGAACTGGATACACACAAAGATCGCAAACTCACGCGGGGTAGGCAGGTGCTTGAGGTGATGCGCGTACTTAGCAGGCACAAGGGTGTCGGTCGCCGATGCGGTGGCCATGTTGACTGCAGCCTACCAGGAGGCTGAGTGTGATTTCTTTCGAGTCCTTTGAGTGGCAAGGGGCTTTGGTGGCATTGCTTATAAGGCTAAGCATGATGTTGAGAACGATTTGCTTCCACATGTGCTGCCATGAGTTTGTGATTCGAGTGCTGTTCGGTCGAATCGGAGATGTAGGCGTAGTTTTGAGCACGTTGGCCAGGTGTATTGTTTTGTCAAGGGTGTAGCTCCCAAGTCCTTTCAACAAGGCGCATGTGTGCTGGAAGTTGAGCGTGAGCTGGAAGGTCTTCTCAACGATCAGGCTCTTGCATATCTTGCTTATTTGGCTGCAAAGGCAAGGAGTCAGCCACAACTGAGAACGGGAGCTCAGGTGATGAGGAGGGCTGTGTAGTGTTTCGCATGCGGCATCATATGTTGGAGGAGCTCATGATGCTCGAACGGGTGGTCTCTTTGGGGCAGGTGGGGGTTGAAAGCAGTGGGTGTAGGGCTTTGGATGCGGCTCGCTCGGTTGTCGCAGGAAGAGATGAAACAGCATGTGTTTCAGGGTCGCACGCCGTTCAAGCGCACCTGTAGAAAGTGCTTAGCTGCTGTAGCGCGGGGTCGTCACCACAGACGTTTTAAGCACCAACATGCCTTTTGTTGATTGTTTCGCTCAGTGCAATGGTCGTGTCCTTAGGTCACAGGCATTACCTACTCCACATGTCGCGTTTTCGTCGGCCAGCGTGGGTCGGCAACCCAATGCGATCACCGGGCAGAGGGCTTCGAAAAAATGCCGTCGAGACCCATGACTGTTTCATCGGCAGCGAACTTTGAACAGGTCGCGAGTGTTGCATGAGCGGTGCTTGCACGCGCTGCTGAGAGCTCACATGTGCTCTCCTCGGAGCACAAGAGCATGAGACTCACGTAATCGAGTGGTTTGCCAGGTCCTTCTTTGACCTGACGCCGAATGGCCAGATTCTGAACCGTCTGGCCGAGGCTTGACAGTGCGGAGCGTGGCATTTCCCATATGACTTTAACAGAGGACACCAACATCTTGGATTACAATCTGCCGCAGACGATCCTAAGCAGCATGGCCCGCCGGGCCGCCAGGCGGCAGTGCAACTCGAGTGCTTGTCTGAGGATGTCGGCGAATTTCATCTGGCTACACAGCTGCATCTGTCGGTTTGTTTGGATTTCTGCATCCGAAGCAGGACAGGGTTTTTTGTTGCAGGTTCTGGCGAGCAGCCTCAATCGTCGTGGTGCTGGCCTTACCAACAGCTCGAAGGCACCAACAGCTGTACTGGTTGCAGACGGCTGCAGGTCTGCATGCTCGTGGGATGGCCCGCTCAGACCTTCCGCTTCCGCTGCGACACGGATGCATGCCGCGCTCTGCGAGCAGGTACTTGATCATCCTGATGGTACCCATGTTTGTGCTTTATGCGCGCCTTGCGAAGAGGCAGAGCTCATCTCAGACCTTCAAAGGCATGACCGCAAGCAACAGGTATCTGCCAGCCACGCGTGACCTGCGTCGACTGGATGCGGTCAGACCTTGGCATGTTTCAGGTGAGGTTGTTTACTCCCAGTTGCAGTGGATTTTGCCAGGCAGCCAGGAGCCCCATCTTCAGCCACTTCTCTGAGTCCATGCAGGGCGTGTCCACCATCCGTGCCATGCAGCAGCAGGAGAAGTTTTGCATTCTCGGACGGCATTGGGTAAATGGTTCAATATCGGCAGGAAAGGGCGCTGCACACGAACATGACCAGGCCAGTAAGGGTCGTGACTCGTCCGGCCTTTGAAGATGGGCCCTGAGGCTGGAAAGCCAGATGGAAGCTTACTACCTCAGCAACACAGCAGCCCCTTCCTCGGCCCAATTGCCCGGCCCGACAGCGTGGCATATGGCAACCCGGAGGCTCGATGGTTGAGCCTGCGGCTCCAATTCAATGGCACCATCCTGGCCAGAACCTCGCAGCGTGAATCTGTTGTTTCCGCCGCCGCAAGCTAGCCCTTGGCCCCTGTGCGGGAAGGTGGGAGCTGTGAGCATCCTGGGCATCTTGGCTAACGGCTAGCAGCCTCCGCGCCTTCTGCATTCGACGATCGTCGCAGGGGATGTCGACCCAGTAACTTATCCTGTGGCGGTCCCTTCCCAGGCATCTTCCTTTCGACGAACAAGCAGGCTCCGAAAAGCGGCTCGGGCGCCGTGGCCCTGCATTTACGCTTCTCTTGGCCAGGTGTCTGCAGGTCTCGTGGGTTTGGCCATCACTTATGCGCTTCGCCTGACGGACACCTTGAACCAGGCCTTTTCCCGCCTTCCTGCGGGGAGGCACTGATTTGTCTTTCGATGTCAGGTGAACCGCGAATCTGCAGACAGGACGGTGCAGAGTTTCAAGCATGCGATGATGGTGCGTCCCAGAACCTCGCCAGGGAGACGCAGATGGTTTCTGTGGAGCGGGTGCAAAATTATGTGACCAGCGTGAAACAGGCGGCAAAGCAGAAGCGATGGGGACGTGGCAGTTGGAAGCGGCAGCTAACGCTTCTGACATTTTCCTCTCTCCGAGGAGGCGCCGCTAAGGATCGCGCATCCAAGCATGGGCACGAACTGGCCGAGCTGAAGCCTTACGGCCTTACGCAAGTCGCATCTGTAGCTGCTCCTGCTTTCGGCTCTTGCTTGGGATTATTGAGGTAGTGGCAACATTCAGGTGGACAGGGAGCTCGTCTTAGTCCAGTGGGCTCAGAGCGGAAAAAGCATGAGTGTAGAGACGACAACGGTGTGCAGCACAGCATGACGATCGTGATCATCTCGCGAGGTTGTGATGCGATACCGTGACGGTTTGCCGGTCGCCTTGTGCCAAGTAGAATTTGCCTTTGTGAGGCACTGCCTGTTCAAGCTTCGTTCGCGTGACTTCACCTCAGTTTCGCTATCTGCACCCTCAGAAGCTCTTTCCCAACAGGTCCTGAACGGAATTTGCCTCGAGATCAAGGCAGCAGAGTTACAACAGAGACAATCCCCAGCACCGCGCGTGTACCGCGCGTGCAAGGCTGGAGAAAGAGTTGGAATCGTGGGACGTACAGGCGAGGTTCTTGTCTCCAAGACAAATGCAGACTGACACAAGCCTGCTGCAATGCTGCAAATCTGCTGCGAGGCTGCGGCAAGTCCTCCTTCCTGTCGACGCTGCTTCGACTCGTCGAACTGGAGGCGGGCGTCTCCGGCTTTCAGCGCTATCTCTGGGCTACGCCTGTACCAAGCCTGTACCACCCTGTGCCACCCTGTACCTGTATGATTTGATGCTGTTTGACGCGGAATTTGGTGGAGGCTGCCGGAACAGCAATGCCAGCAGTAACCACACACCTCAGGTACGTTTCCCGGTGCCTCGTTTTCCGGATTTCACAGCATCGCGATCGAGTATCCATACAGCAGGTTCTCCTGCAGGCTCTCAGATCAAATCGATTAATCGATGGCGGCTGTACACGCGCACTCGTTTATGCATCCAAAAGTGTGCGGGAAAGGCCATACTCCAGTCACCCGCTGCACCCATGACGAGCAGTCTGTGCATCAAGTCACTTTCAAGTCCAACTTGGAGTGGCCTCGGCCGAGTCCACCGGCGTCTTGAGCCTCTGGCTCCAAGATATTCCCAACGCTAGCCTGTATTCCTGATTCCTTAACTTATCACTCCGACATTTTGTTTGTATGATTTGCGTCTCCGAGCTGGCGGGTCAGGAAACCGATGTATGTCGTTGGTTAGTTAGTTAGTTGTTCGTGGTTCTTGGTGTGGTGATGAACCAGGGTGAAATGTTGTCCGTCGATCCAGCATCCGGGCTTCTCTTGCCATCTGGATGAATGATATGAGCCGACTGACCGGAAAATGGAATCGGCATAAGCCTGGCTTCGACGTGGTCGGAGACCACAAACGCTTGTTACAGCAATGATAGCCACGAAAGAACAACTTTCAAGCTACCATCAGCTTCGGCCTCCGCCGGAGTACACTCCGAGTATCTTTGCGAAGTCATCTTGGCCTCGTGTTCAACATACAAGCCCTCATCCACACACAGCCTCGTGGTCTCAGCAATGTGCCGTGCCTGTGCAGTCCGGCTCCATCACGGTGGATGATGTTGACATCAGCCAAATCGGTCTTCACGACCTCCGAAGCAAGGTGTCGTCAGAGGTGAAGTCAGTTCGACTGCGATCGCCCATGCTTCGTGAGGTTGCCATGATACCTCAGGCCACCGTCGAAGGATCTGTTGGGTGTCCGTGTAGCCGCACCTTGCATGTCAGGATCCGGCCATCCTAACGGGAAGTGCGGTGGCCCTGGGGCCCTGGGCATCTTCGCAGAGATTGCAGCGATTCGAGATCGAGTGCAGAGTGCAGGTCCGATTCAACTTGGACCCTTTCGGCGCCAAGTCTGAGGAGGAATTGCAAAGCCCTGAATTTGTCGTCGCTGGATAACAGAGACTCAGAGTCTGGATGCCAGGAGCTCTGGCAGGCGCGCTGTCCGCAGTTCGCAGTGTTCCGGCCCCGTGGTCATGTTCTGCTTTTCAGGTGTTGGAGAAAAGCCAGTTGAAGCCTGGATCCCGAAATCCCCGTCGTTTGTGCACGCGTTGTCACGCGTCGTGCCGTCATGCCGTCATGCCACATGCCTGAGGCCGAGAATCGAGAGCGCCGGAGGTCTGGACAGCAAGGTGTCGGGCCTCCATATGCGTTAACGAAGCCTGTTTGGAGTCTGGAGCCATCTTCAGATGGAGGTGGAAGAGGGCGGCGGCAACTATTCGGTTGGGGAGCTGCAGCTGCTGTGCTTGGCCCGCGCGCTGCTACGACGACAGGATCCAGAGAGCGGTAGTACAGGTATAGTTGAAAGTACAGTGGCGCAGGCTTGTGACTTGTGCAATCAGGAGACGGGCGGACTTCTGCTTCTCGACGAGGCGACCCCTGCGAAGCATCTCGACATCCAGCGACGCAGACTGGACAGACTGGACCATGCAGGCCACAAGCGCGCTGGACCAGGAGACTGACCAGACGATTCAGAAGGCAGGTCACCAGGTTTTCAAAATCGGATGGCCGAGCTATTTCACAAGACGTTGTGGGTGGCCACAGGTCATCAGGTCTGATTTCAATTGCACCATCATCACGATCGCACACCGGATCCAAACCTTGCCAGAGCCCAACGGTGTCGAGACAAATCTTGATCTGCATGCGGCGCTGGCTGCTAGCAGTACCACAAACCAAAGGATGGACTACGACAAGGTGGCCGTTTTCGAAGGTGGCAAGGTTGTGGAATTCGATTCGCCACAGGACTGTCAAACTGTAGCCAGACCACAGTGATCATGATGTGATGACTTGTTCGCATGATGCTGGCCAGCCCCACAGCTACACAATCCTTTGCGCGGTTCGCGGTGATATCATGCAATGGCCCACTCGGCCGATTCTGGACTGTTTGCAGGCTTACATGGAGTTCGCGCCGTCTTTCAACCCCCCAGTGATCCAGGAAACAATTTGTCCACATGGACCCCGAATTCGCCCAAGCCCTTCCTTGAAGCCTGACTAATCCGACCTTAAAAGTCCCGAAGCCTTGAATCCGAACCACCTTGACAACCAACGTGCCTATCGGCCTATCGCACAGCAAGTTGCGGAGAGTCCGGGATGCCCAAGCGAGGAAACAGGCGCTCCAAGAAAACAACTTGAGGAAAGCACTACCTACAGGTGTGTTTGCTCCATGAATGTGTATATATATATATATATATATATTATCTTTATGTATTACATATATATATATATATATATATATATATGTACATATTATATAGACAGTGCTCTCTCTCTCAGTCTCTCTCTCTCTCTCTCTCTTGTTAGTGTAGCATTCTTAGCATTATTGATTGCATATATGCGTGTCTTCGGCACTGCAGCCAAGCCAGGAGCTGCTGAAGCAACCTTCAAAATTCCAGGCATTGGCCAAAGAGGGCGGTGTGATTGCTTGAGTTGCTGAGTCTAATCTCTGAAGTTGAAAACTTACAGAGACGATCCAGAAACTGGAGCATGCATTGTGCATTGCCACGCAAAGTTTGTGGCAGTGAGCTTAGACCTTTTCCAAAGCTCTGTCGATCCAATTTTCTTCTCGGCTTCCAAGCCCAACGGGCTTCCGGCCGAGTTGTACTCCATTTTCGCCTTGGGAGCGTCGCGACGGAAGCCTTGTGGCCTTCAGCGGCGAGCCTTTGGTGCGCGTATTTGCACTTTCGTGGAGGTTTGCCTGGCCATGCCAGAAGACCTAACTCACGGGTGCAGCACAGATTGATTGTGACATGCATCACAGAAACGCGAGTTGCTCTGCACGTTCCAGGTTCCAGCTGCTTCTCACACCGACTGTGTTAGATTGTTAAGATGCTGGTCAATGAATTGGCCCCAGATGACCAAAAGATACCAAAAACACCGTTACACCGGTGCAGTGACCAAACCAGCCGCTGCCGGCACCAAAATCGCGCCCAACTGATGTATCACCAAACCGCCCGCTAGAACAACAAGAAGCACCGGATCGATCACCAATATTGGGTTCATGCACTACCAAACCCGCCTGTAGCAACGCATCAAGCGCTCAAAGGACCTGGCCGCAGTGCTGAACCCATGACAAAGGTACAGTTTGACTAGAATGCAAAGCCATGCCCAAGCGCATGCTTGTTTTTACACAGAGCTTTGCGTCGACAGGTTAGGTGAATGGCGGCACACCCAACCTACCCTATCCCAGGCACCAACCAACCGCATCCCAACTCCGTATAGCCCAATGACGCACCTGACCCAGACTAAGCTGATCTCTTATTGACTCAGCCGAAGCTACAACAACCTAAGTTGGCCCAACCCAGCGCAACCGTGCCGCAGCCTAACGCAACACCCCAGACATAAAGCCCAACCTCACCTCACCCAACCTCACCCCATCCTCCCAACCTAGCCACCACCAAACCGAGCTGACTCAACCTGACGTAACCCCAACCTAAACTGATCCAACATAGCAGTTGTATGCTAGACATTGCTCGACTAGCCGACAGCATTTCGCGCTTTCCAGTACTATTTATACATGGGTTCTCAGCCTTAGCCTAGTCGAGCCATGCTTTCCCAGGTTGTTCCGCAGATCCTGCAGGTCAATCCGGAATGGAAGAACCCCCATGGTACCCGTGTCAATTGGATTCAATTGGTATCTCGGATGTCTCGAGCGGCTGACGGCGAAGCTCTCTTCCTGTTATGAAACATGTGTTCAGTCATGCGCCGAATGACGGTCTGGCCTTGGTACGCCTCGTACGCTGTCCTACTGAAGTCGTGGAGTCACCAAGTGATTCCTTCTTAACAGTTGCAAACTGACTCAGTTTGGGGAGAACCAGCTCCTATACCACGCCAGGATCCTTTATCCCAGTATCTCCGGTAGGAATACCTGGGCCATTGGCCGAAGCTACAGGTTTGCCCGTTGGTATAGTTGGTAGTCCCTCCACACCTATGAGCAAAACGCAGCTCAGCCAGATGAACCTCACCCACAACAATCAGCTTATCGATGCCGTCCCTGTAAATCAAGATCGATCTCCGGTGGTGGAGCTTGCTGCCGAGGCACGACGCAATCAGATTGTCGGCGAGTTAGGCGCGGAACAATCAGGAGCAGTTCCGCTTTGTGTGCGGTCAAGGTCTTGCAGAAGTGACAAGGCTGATGGATGAGCTCAGTCATGCAAGCGAATATTTTGTTACATTATGTTACATTTTGCTCTTATCGAACAAGCCGATGCTTCCAGAAAGGCCACTGAAGAAATCAATGCGCAGCAGCGTAGCCGTTTTCGCGCGGTGGAAACTTCTGCCCGTCATAATGAAGCTATTCGTTCGCATGCGATTGCCAGTTCAACATCAGGCCCACAGCCGACAGACACAGCTGCTGATGGAACAGAATGATCATCTCTCTTTCAGAGATCGGGAGTATGAGGTTAGAGATGCCGCAAATCGAATGCGAGAGGGTATTCATCTTGGGCCTCCGCCCGGTATCCCTACTCAATTTTCCACTCCGAAGCCAGAGCAGAAGAATGATGTTTCACCTCTACTGAGTGAGTGTCGGACGCCGGGAAGCGAACATCTCCTGAACATCCCAGTAGCCCTAAGGGTGGTGATAGTCCGGGAGGCGGAAGCCCGGGGGGTGACGGTGATGACGATGAGGATAGGCCAGGACTCAAGTCCAAGAAGGATAAGAATGATAAGAAGTCCAAGAATCTCGGCGAATTCCGGCTCTAGCAGTAGCTCTAGTAGCTCTAGCTCTTCTTCTTCCTCGCAAATCGATCGGAGGACTATGAACTTAAGCTCCTGAAGAAGATGATTGAAGCCGTAGAAAGCTAGAACGAGATGAATGACAAAGATGCCAAGCCTAAGGTGAAGGAAGCAGAGAAGATGACTGTCCTGAAATTTCCACAGCCTGAAAGCAACAGGAATTGGAAGCTTCGTGCTCGACAGGTAGTAGTCGCTGCTTGCGACATGCCCGATGATGCTTGGCTGTCAAGGGTGTGGGAAGAGGATGTGAAGGAGGAGGATCTTCGCGACCCGGAAGGGTTCGTGACCTTGGATGCGAAGGTTTTGTCTATACGGCAACAAATGAGTCTTGAGGGTGCATTTGCGAGGCAGATTGATGCGTTCACGGAGAGAGAGGCGAATGCCGGCAGGCTTGTGAGGGTAGACAGGTGTTTTTTTTGTATAAGTTAAATTTGATAACTTCTTTTAATTCTTCTCAGCCAATGCCTAGCATGGCCCAGTCTATCTTTTTTCTGTCAAAACGTTCAACGAGAAGCTCGAGACTTTCACGCATAATTGGGGAACGGGTAACGGGTTTGTCTGGGATCCAGAAGATGCCTGCTGAATCCCTCCTGAAGTCGCTTTGCCATTGGCAGATCAAGCGCTTCAAAGACCTTTCGCACGACATCTCCATTTACGAGCGTGCAACAGAAGGGCATCAGACCTCTAAGTTTATAGTATGATGCGGTTACGATTGTTGAGTCGCAAGTCGCAAAAGCCGTGAGCTCAACCAGGAACGGATTGCCAAGCAATATGGTGCCGACGGAAAGCCACCCGCCCCCGCTCCCAAGAAGAAGTTCGTCCCTAAGGGATTCTGCTTGAGGCGACAAGTGCAAGTACAAGCACGAGATCGCTGAGAAGAGAAGCTGACCGCATTCAAAGGGCGGTGGCCGTGGTTGAGCGCCGTCACGAGCGACGAGCAATGATGGAAAGCCTCGTGAAACTTCTATAAGCAAGGACACTGCAAGAAGGGAAGTGCATGCACGTTGGGTGAGCCAGGAAGTGCAGACAGTAAAGGGAAGGATGGTAAATCCCTATGGAAAGGTTCGCAGGGGTCTAAAGGGCTTTAAGGGCAATATGGGTTCGGGCAAAAGACGCCTGGTGTCTATCTCATACGGGCATTGCTCGCTGCGACATCGGGTGCTCAGGACGACGCTGCTTTCGCATTCCGGCAGGGATCGCCCGATAGTTGTGAGGACATGCCATTCATTCACCGTTTCGTGTGCAATGCCAGCAATTCATAATTCGCTTTGAGGACAATCCGATGCTCGTCAGCATACCTCTTGACGGTAAATTGCTATTGAGTCTTGAGTCATGCAACAGAAGACATCCTTCGGTGGGGAACCTCCGCAACTCTTTGAGTTCTAGCTGGTGTCAGGGCTGCATGTGGGTACTAGTGCGACGCTGAATTGGGTTGTGATAGGTGCAGCCCCAAGCAAGCCCCGTGTCTTGTAGCCACAAAATCATAAAGCCAACAGCTCGCCATCGAGTGGGTTGCTGTTACTGGAAGTGCCCAAGACCTCACATTTCGAAGGGCGACCTGGGCACATGGAAGACCATCTTTCGCGAAATCCCATACATTATCAGGGCCAGCGGCCTAGTATAAGCTGCTGAGGTGCAGTCTAGTATCTCGGTTCCTGCGATAGGAGTCGCAAGTCACTCATCGGGCAACAAAACAGGGTTCCCAGCAGTCGCTTCCATGGCAAGGCAGCTGAGAGATTCTTGCCATAGATGCATCTACCAGTGAACCTATTCGTCAAAGTTTCCATTGGCGCGCAAACATCGGACGTGCGCCGCCAAACCCGATAAGCCCGATATCAGGGGCACCCCATCAGTCCAAATCCCCACCCTCGGAGTTCAACATCTCCAAGGGTTCTGACTTGAAAAACAGGGGCGAGTGCAAGATCTCTAAGTCTCTAAGAGTTTGATCTAAAATTCAGGGGTGCTCCGTCCCTCCAAGGCTTCATCCTCGGAGTTCAAGATCTGTAAATCAGGGCTAGGCCCCACCCCGGAGTTCAAGC